CCGGCGATCCCAGTGTCCATCTAGTTCCCCCAGGATTCCTGCAGGTGCCCGGGGCTGCAGCCGGTGCGGTGCTGTGTGGTTTCTTGGCGCCTGCCGGGAGCACGGCACCTGGGTGCTGTGGGCAAACCCGTGCCGCTGCCCGCCCTCACCTGTGGGGATGGATGTCCCTGGCACCCCGCACCTGCCGGCGGGGGGGCGGGGGGAATGCTGCCTGTCACGACCGTTCCGCCTTGCCTTTCATTTAAATGTCTTTAACGGCTCATATGATATTCTTGTTATGCCACCTAGTAACAGTACTATGTTTTTTTTCCTGCAGTGGACCGCAGTTCGAAGAGGAGACAAGTGAAGCCTTTGGCAGCTTCGCTGCTGGAAGCTTTAGATTATGATAGCTCTGATGACAGTGATTTTAAAGTTGGAGATGCTTCAGGTAAATCTGCTTCCTCATCTCCTCCTTGTAGAATTACCTCATTTTTGTTTCATTGTTGCTCATTTAATATGATGTGGGAGACAGAATGTTATTAGTGAACTGCTGGGACTTGGAGCCACTTACAAGTTCAGTGACTTGATTGGATAACTGGAAATTCTTGGGCCATGGGTAAGAAACAACTGATTAAACAAAAAATCCATACAATACTTCAGTTGTAGTTAGTTTTTTTCTCAACAGAACTCACAATTATGAAACAAGTTTTTGCAGGACATTTCATTAGCTACTGTGCTGACTGCCTTAGATGTATTTACTGCTTTTTATTTTTACAGGGTAGAAATAACTTTTGAAATACTCACTGTATTTAGTACTGAAACAAGAATGTTCTAAAGCCATTTTGTTTTGAATCAGTCTGGATAATAGTTTGTTGTGGACCTAAAAACTTGCCTCTTTCTCAAGGTTAATTCTACTTGGTGAGTGAAGTTGTTGAGCAGAAAGATAATCTGTTCAGGGTTTTGCTGTTTTTTACAATAGACAAACTCAAAGTGCTCATTCAGATAGCTGTGCAGAAAAATTTATGCATTTCATACTAGAAGAAAGTCCTTGCCTCAGAGTGGTTTTGTTCTGTAGTCTTATCTATGTATGCATGTTCCTATATCTGCATTGAACATTGTCAGAAACTGAAGGTAAACAAAATGCCAAAATAAAGTGGATAAATGTAAGTATATTGGAGGGAAGGGAAAGAAGGGGCAGGACCATGTTTGTAAATGAACTGCACATTGGAAGTTCTCTGGCATATGCTCAGGGAATTAAGCGAAGTGATGCAGGGTGTGTAAAATATAAGAGAAGCATTATGACAGCTTGTCACATAACTTCGCTTTATTGTTTCTGCACTGGGGAAACTAATCTATGTTTTGATACAGATGTATTGTGCAAAAATATTCCCTGTCTCTATTTGAAGGCTTATTTTGTAACATCTGGTAAGCTCCTCCTTATTCATGAGCTTAAAAATGCTTAATAATAATTTCTGCATTTTTCTTTCCCCCAAGCTTAGACATTTCCCTTGCTTGGTCTGGTAGAAGTAGGCTGCAATGACTTAAAAGAATAAAACTGATGTCATCTTACCAATTTCATGCTTAGATTTTGGGGTGCTTGTTAATTTGCTTTTTAAATCTTGTTTTGGGGATTTTTGATCTTTTGATTAAGGACACTGCCTTTTGTAAAGACAGTTTGCCATAAAGGGAAATGATTTTTAGTTCTCAAAGAAAATCTCTCTTTTTCTGGAACAGTAATGTAGGCAGGATTTTAGGAAAAAGGAGAGGTGGAAATGGTGTATGGCAGATGGACACATAACTCAGAGCAATATATTATTTGATTAAAGGACAATCATTAATTAAAAATAATGAATAAAGCTTCTTGATGGTCAAAATGCAGAGGATTCATTTGTAATTGATATCCTCTTTGCCTTTTAGGATATCATATGTACACATGGGGGTGGTCAGTATCTAGCCTTGAGAGTATTTCAATCTCAGTTTCATTCTGAGGAAGTTTATTTCGTTTTCCCTTAAAAAACCAGCACTGAATTGAAAAGGTACCAGAAAACCCCAAGTTCTACTTAGAAAATTATTTTTGAATTACTGTTTTTTGTTCATGTATCTCATACAGCGTTATACAACATTGTTTTAACATGTCAGAACCTATATCTATCACTTGTAGTAAAAATTAATGTTCTGTTTAATAAAATTTAAAATCTAGTGAAAACACTTTGAAACAGCAGCATAGTTCAATGCTTTACACTTTATTCTATGGTTTTTCAATGACAAGAGAGGAAATTGTAATGTTTTTAAGAAGTTGGGGAATAGGGACTTATTAAACATTGAACCTCCTAAGTTGAAAGAAATAAGAAACTATTATGTGCAATACAAGTTAAATGAAATGGAACACCTGTGCTGATTTAAAATGAAGCTGGTATTACACAGCCTTAAATTTGGTTGTACCTAGTCCATTTAGATTTGGATGGAAGAAGTGCTGAAATAAAAGGACTTTTTTTTACACACACACATAAATAAAATTGATAATTTCAAAGTTATGTGTATATATAAAGAATATGTGTGTACACCCACAAGCAACCCTAGTAAACAAATTCTGGATTATTGCTAATAGAAAACAGGTTTTCCTGTTTTCCACTGTGGATTCAGCCTTCAAAGTATAATGTGTATTACTCCAGTACAATTGGGGCTGTTGCTCTTTTTCCTCTTTTAATGACCATAGAGGTCTCTCCATATGCAGCCTATTGCAAATCACTCTTTAGTATTTGTTTGAATTCAGAATTTTATTGTGTAGTTTGCTTACAACGGGAAATAAATGTGACAGAAGGAAGGAACAATTTTTCTACATGGAAAATGACCACTAATTCTGCTCATGCACTGAGAAAAATCCTGTAAGTATGATAATTCCACAGGCCTGCAATGTATGTGTGATTCACAAATGCACATATATATATTTAGAAAAACAAATCTGAAAGTTAAAAGATAAAGGACTGTTTAGACACTGAAGTAGAAGAATTCTGAAGTTGTTTACTCCCTGTTGGTGATGTTGCATCTAGATGTATGAGCTTTAGGATGTTGAGTGATGTGTGCTAGTAGATGATACTATGCGAGTCTAGGAGGGCTGAGCCCTGAGAATTTAATCTTTTACGCACATTTATTGTTCTGTCAGATTTCTGGGAATATGAGATGCAGTAAGGATTTGAGAAGTTGGTATTAAGTACTTGTAGGAAGGAGTCAGTGTTTCTGAATTTCTGTATTGAGAGTCCTGATGCCGTGGTAAATTTTTTTCATTACAGAAAAGATTTCTAGTCACCTAACCTTCATTTCCACCAGAAAAGTCCATAGGAGATACGGCCTTTGCCTACAGTGTAGTTAATCTCTTTTCTTTCAGATCTAGGTCACACCTAGATCTGAAACAAGCAATTAATGCCTTTTCCACTTAAAAGATCTCATCATTCTGACATCTCTTTAGGGAAACTGATTTAAAAACTGTTATATTCTTGTAAATTTACTTAATGTAAATAGTTTTCAGGCCTGTGAGCTTTTCATTATGTGAATATCCAATGAAGTAGTTTTTTAATGGCTTCTCTGTTTCTACATAATAGAAAGTACTGTATTTTCTGGTTTTTACAAGCATCTTGAAAAATTTGCTCCTTAAGTAAGAATGTTATATATAATCTTCATGTGGGATCAATCAAAAACTGTCCCTTTGGAGTCAGAGCATACAAATATGTCACTTGTAATTATGATTTTGTAATGTACTCAATTGAAGGTTTTTAATAATATGTTTCACAGTATGGATCTGTTATTTGAAGTTTTGCTTTTAAGTTCATTAGAGCATACTTCTTGGTTTTTTTGTTCTTTTTTTTTTTCTTTTTTTTTTGTGTGTGTATCTTTTTTTCTTCTCTAGTAAGAGCAGCTGAAGATATACTGTTGTCAGAAATCAGTGTATAGTTGTACAGTGATTCCCAGCAGGATTCCAAAGCAAGGATTTACTGCTTTTCTTCTCTGTCATCTTGAAGTTGGTCATTTTTGGCAGCTCATATACTGAAATTTAAATAATGCAGAGAAATGTAGCGTGGTCCCTGAACAAGAATGGTGTGTGAATTTAAGGCTTTCTCTCTGAATGTAGCTAAAAAGAGCATAGCTTAATGCTGCCTTGAAGAACTTTATTCTTTTACTACTTCTGCTACAAGTCTCCTAGACTCAAATTTTTAAAGACATTTGTAAATGTTTGATTATTTTGGTGTTGAATGTGGAGCCTGACTTGGATAAATATTATGTAGTATCACTGCAATTGAGGTCAGTAGTTGCTCTGTTTAAGATGTTTAAAATGATCTATATAAATGCATATATTAGGTATTCTGAAAAACTTGTGACTTCATCTAGAAATAAAAAGTTGCAAATACATTTATCTTTCTGTAATTTGTTTCCTCGTAGCGCGATGGAGAATCCACTTTTGCTTTCTTGTACAGGATATTGTAATACACAGAAATGTTTGTGAAACACCAAAATACTTGTAGAGGTAAACAGTACTGAAATACTGATGAAGAAACTAATACATTTGGTTTTGGAGAATAAACATAAATGATAAGTAACACCAAAGTTGTAGGGTGTTTCAGTAGACAGTGAAGGTAAGCAAAAGTACTGAATAGCTAATCACTAGTAAATTATCACTTAATTGCACAATCTTAATTAATACAATCGTTTCAAGGCTTGACTTTGCAACTGGAATGTGTAGTACCTCAGAGTGGAATTCCCAAGTGATTTTTCCCGTTAAGAAAATGGAAAATGTGGGCATTAGGTTTTCTTGGTTTATCTTTGTCTCAAGTGAGTTCTTTTGTCCGTACAGATGTCTGCCACTTGAAGTAACACTTTGGAGTGACTGGCAAGCATTTTGAACTTGCATTCTCTTTGGAAACATTTAAGATTTCTGTTCTTCTGTGTGTTCACTGTCAGCAGAGGAGTAATCTAGCAGAAATCTAGGCTTTCCTTCCAATGTCTGGGCAGGGCGGATTTACTCATGGGATGACATTAGTTTTCTTTGTTTTCATCTTACTGTGACTTTGTGCCTTGTCTTCCACTCTATCTGTCCCTTATTGGAACCCTTGCTCATTCATTCACTGTCATTCTGCTTGTTCAGTCAGTCTTGAACAGGATTTGCATGGTCCCTGCTTTACTACTCCTAGATTACTTTCTCTTGCATCTCCTCTGTTCTGTGCATATGTCTATTTCTTGTGTATTTCCTGCCACATGGAGAAGTTTCTTCTGTGCTTTATTTACTCCAGCTTGGTGGGATGGTTTGTTTGCAGCCTGGCCACCTCAGAGTCTACATAGGCCAGCGAGGATGGGATGTTTCAAGTGTTTCTTGAGCATATACTTGTTACAAGGTTTCAGAGACTTAGACTGAGCATGTCCTAGACATGTGTTCAACTGTCTCCCAGATGTCACATCCCTTGTAGAAGATGTGAAAGTCTCAGGTGTTTCTTGGAAAAATACATGTTCTAGCTCAGTATTCAGTAGCTTATATTGGAATTCAATTTTATGGGTTATTCAGGACTGCAACTTTACTAAGGGAAGTCGTGGTGGTATGCAATACTTCAGGCCAAACAAAGTTTGGTAACGTTTATAACAGGGAAATGTCAAGCAAATTCGGGAGGTAGGGTAACAAATTCCATCTGCGTTACAGTATTGTAAATAAGGCTGTTCCCAATGACTCAAATCAAAGTTGGCAACCTTTAGTTTTGAGTGCTTTTCAAATAGAATAGACATCTACTAAAATGCTGTGTAATTATTGCTAGTGTAGAAGCGAGGAAACTGCTTACTAAACAACTCTTATGTTCTTCTTCCATCCTTTTTCACATTAAATTAAATACTTCTGAACTAAATGTAATCATGGATCAGTGATCAGTTTCATTTCCTACTCTGCCCAGTTTACATCTGCAGTTAATACAGATTAGATACTTTTTCAAAACATTGAGAAGTTAATCTCTCTCCTTAGAGCAGCAATACTTAATCTATGTTGATTTTATTTTGTATGTTCTTAATCATATTCCTTTGTCTGGTTCCATTTTTTTTTTAACTGCCAGCATTATCGGTGTTGAGTTGCCAGTAGTCTCCCAATGTTTAATCATCATACTTAGCAAAATAGCATAGAGAGCCAGTGGCATATATGTAACTGATGTTAGATTCTATTTTGATGTTGCAAATGAGGTATTAAGCCTTTTCAGTTCTTGCTTTCAGTATAGTTATATTAGTCTTGGCATAATGGACCTCTGTGGCTTTAGTCTGATAGAAAAATGTAATGAGAATTTTACTGTTATGTAACTCTGCCTTTGGCATTTTAAAAGTTCATATTTTCCGTGTATGATCTAGTTTTTCCTGCATTATTTTTACATCTAGTTATTAATACCAGAACTTTCTAGTTATCTTAAGCATTTTTTTAAAGTATTTTGGAGTCTTGAAAATTATTTGCTATTTCTAGGTCAGATGTGTAGGAAATACAGATGCTTTTACATGTTTGGTATTGGTACACATGTGCAAAGGAGCTATTCTTATAAGGAAGTTTCTAGGCAGAAGTTGTTGATACATGCTTTTTTGCAGTGCTTTCCACTTTCCTTGTCTGTCAGAATGCAGGCACACCGTGGTGAGGGCTTGTTACATGGTGTGTAACATGGTGTTTCAGCAGAGATACCCAAGTAATTTCATGTCGTCATGTCAAAGATTTGTTACCTGCCTTGTGATTGGGAGAAAGAGACTAAGGAACCACTAAGCAGGATGATGGTGATTGAATGGCTTTAACCTCCAAAAGAATTAACCTCACCTGTAGCCTGTTTTTTGTTACCACCCTAAAAAGAAGGTATTGTGAGGTACACTGGTCTGGATGGCTTCTCACATGATGCCTGTAGACTGTTACTGACCAATAATAGGAATAACTTTTGACAAGGTAGTTGTTTTCTATACTGCATGCTCAGTTTTCAGGGTTTTCGCTCCTTTTCAATGTTCCAGGATCCTGGATTATATTCTCTATATGTAGCTTTGAGCACCTGGGTGAAACTCAACCAGACAGGACTCAGTGCAAAAAAAAATAAAATAAAAAAATGATTCTAGATGCTTCACTCCTGCTGTCTGGAATTGGTTAGCCTTTGTTAGTGGAAGCGGCAAGCCCAAAATCAAGTCTGTGATTTTCTTTATCTAGTCTATCCTTCAGACTTTGCTTGAAACCAAGCATTTAGGCAGCTTTTTACAGAGCTGCTTGTTAAGCTAAATACTGCATTGAAGAATCAGCCTCTCTACGGTGAGTGGGTGGCCATGTACTTACATAGTGTAGCACTTACTCTGTACACATGGAAATAAAATCAGAGGGTACCATATTTTAAGTTGCTTGTAAAATGGTCCTGCAAAACCCTGGGAGGAATTTTTTTTTTTTTTTTAACTGTTGTAGTGATTTCAGTAGCTTTGCCCTGAAGTCTTGTGCATATTATGCAAGACTTCATAGCTGATGTGGAGATTAGCAGTCACTTTTGTTTATCTTTATTACAGTTTTTCATATGTTAATTCTGGAGCATGATGTTCTGTCCTGGAGAATTCCTCTCTGAATTGTCCTCTTTGGGTTTGACTGCCATCTGCTATTGTGCTCCAAAGAGCTAAAGGTGTACAGGAATAAATGGTGCCTTTCTCACAACTCTTATCTTTCATATTTGTTCTGAATGGAACTCTATATTCTTTGCTATTTGATGGTGTATCTGGCTCCATCTTTCACTGAGAGTAGCTTGAGTTCTCTCCCATAGAGAATAACATGATATGGTTGCCAATTTGAAAGAGCCATTCTTTAAGAATTTCTTTCAAGGAGAAAATTGTATACTACAGCCTCTTCCTAACTGAAAGTGCATCTGACAGAAGAACACCTGCAAAAATAGCAGTTATCAGAGAATAGCTCTTTCTAGAAAAGCACCTATCATAGTGGATCCATTCAGACAGAAGAGGAATATCCTCACTATAGGTATCTCTGGTGTGTACGTGGATGCAGAAAGAGTACAAAGCATAATGTGCAGGCAGAAGGCAAAGAGAATTTGAAGGGGAGAAGTGAATGTAACTAATGTTTATTTGTTCCCTGTTTTTTATTGTTGGTATGGCATAAAGCAGCTGGAGAATACCGTCAGTTCTGTAGTATTGATGTGCAAGGATCACTGTTGGTAATTTAGAGTGCTGTTAAAGGCTAACCTATACCCAGACTGAGATTCGCCCTAAAAATAAAGGGGAAGCATAAATTCACAAGAAGTGTAAGCATGTTTAGAAATGGGTTGCATATTAGTTAATAATGTCTCTTATTTCCTAGGCCTGCCTGAGGAGTGTTCTACTCTTTCAAAATTTCAGTTAATTACATTGTACTTATGTTACTACTGTTAAGGCTGGTAGGCTTAGGAGAATGATTGAATTACTCTTTTTCTCTAAAGACTGTACAGTAACTTGTGTTACTGTACTCTCTTATTTTTTTTCTTTTTTCTGGCTCTCTAAAGGTTAGAATGTTTGCAAAAAACTTTTACTTTCTATTAGGTTATAAGGGGACTGGTAACATTAATGTCCTGATCAGTAATAGCAGCACTTACGCATTTTTTGTTGGTAATTATGAAATCTCCTCATCAAATACTTCCACATACAGGTTTATGCAGAAAAAGAGAAAAGTAACCATTATATGGAACTATCAACCGAATTACTGTTTAGTCATAGACAGTGATCTGTGGGGTGGAAATAAATGCCATGTGAAGTGTGCAGCACACAGATCCCGCTGTATGTTTATTTGTCTTTAGACAGAAGTGGATGTGCATAGAAATTCTCTGTGTGAGGTGGTAATGAGTGATGGTTTTTTGTGTGATAACTAATGTGATTAAGGATTTATTTATTTTTTTTTTTAACTAGCAAGCGTCGACATGTTTCTTCTTTGCATCAGGAATTTGGTGATGGCTCTAAACAAACTGAAAACTGTAGCCAAGTGCCTAACTGATCCCTCTGTTGGATCAAGCAACTTTTTACTTTTTATTTTGTTAATTTAAAAAGTATTTTCTGAGTTTTTCATCATTAGTAGTGTAAATGAAAAGTAGTAGGAGAATATAAGATGAAAGATAGTCAAGGTGAATGATGTTTATAAATTTTATCATGTTTGCTTGTTATATTTTGAAATATTTTTTACATGTACTCTCTAGAAGAGATGCCTTATTTTTATGATCCTTTTCATACAACCCCCCCACATTCTTCTGTTCTTTTCTGTTGCACAGACTGGCCTGTCTATTAATTGCACAGACTGGCTTTCTATCTTTTCTAATAATTTCTATTAATTAGTAGAAATAGCGGCTACACACAGAACAATACTGTATGGGTGGTATAACGTTAGAATTTTTGCATTATTGTGCAGCTGCAACACTGAGGCATAATTTATGTAGGATTAATAAATAAAATAACATTGGAAATTAGAAGAGTCCCCAAACCTAGGAAAACAAATATGTAATAAATATGAAGGTGTGGGATTATCCATACTTTTGTTAGTACTTGTTATGTAAACTTTCTATTTTGTAATTTCAAACTTCTTCTATTGGATAGCTAATTTATTTTGAAGATTTAGAAATCGCCTGCAGAAATTTAAAAACTGGGATGTTCTATTTAAGATGTGACTTCACATGGAAATTATTCTGTGCTACTGCTTATTGTTAATATGAGCTGCAGTTCAAAGGAACAGTTAACATTCATTTAATAAATACTGCCATCTTTTTTTTGACATCTTAAAATGTACTCGTGTTTAGCAGATTCTCAACATACCACTCGAAATAGCAGTATTTGGATACCAGCTGAAAAAATAGGTGGAATACCTTATGAGGGAGGAACATGCATCATTCTTTTGTTTAACAACTTGCTTCAACAGATTTTATTTTTGGGGGTACATTTGTGTCGGCACTTTTTTTAAATTTTCATATGCTCAACAGATTCTGAAGGAAGTGGTCATGGGAGTGAAGATGCATCAAAGGACAGTGGTGAAGGTTCCTGTACTGAATCAGAAGAAAATATCTTGGAGGAGGAACCGGCAGAAGAGAAAGTAGAAGAGCAACAGCCAAAAAGCTCCACTGAAGAGGAGGTGCCAACAGCAGACAAAGAGGTAATTAAAACTGAAAAGAAAGAACAAGAAGATGAAGAAGAAAAGCCGAAAAAGAAGAAAGAGAAGGAGAAAGCAGCTGAACCTGATGCTGTAGCTGACGAGCAAACAAATGAACCAAAAAAATGGAATTTGCGCAGGAACCGGCCTTTGCTGGATTTTGTATCCATGGAAGAACTAAATGATATGGATGACTATGATAGTGAAGATGACAATGACTGGCGGCCTACTGCTGAGAAAAAAAAAGGAAAAAATGCACTGCGAAAAGAGGGGAGTGATGGAGATAATGAGGATGATGAAGATGATGGGAGCGGAAGTGATGAGGATGACAATGATGAGGAAGGTAATGAAGAAGATAATAGCAGTACGGCTAGTGATGGAGGATCCAAGAAGAAGAAGAGTAAAGTTCTTAACAGGAATAATGCAGATGATGAGGAATTGACAAATGATAGCCTGGCTCTTTCACAAAGCAAGAGTAATGAGGTAGTGCAACCAACTTTCTATAATATATCTGTTGACAAATGGAAACTACTCGCCAATAGATACTCTGTTAATTTGAAAAATTAAACTGATTGGCTGGAATTGTGTTTAGAGGAGTAAGTGAAGCAGCAAAATTATGCTAAATAGGCCCTGCATATTAAATAACCTTGCTTGGGCATTTTGACCTGTCTAATGCCACTAAAGTCAATAGACTGACTTCTCTTGGCTTTAGGGGGGTTGGATTAGTTCTAAAGCAAATAGGAGGTCCAGTATGCAAATCAAGGTGTATTAGTGAGACTTGTAGTTCTGATTTAGCATAAAAGTTGCATATCTGTAATGCTTTAAAAGTTAAAAGCGTCTGTGACATGTTCATAAAATAGCTAAGTGACAGGTTATTCTTTATCCTAGCCCTTCTTTGTGACAACCGTCAAAGTCTGAACACTAAGTTCACTGATAGAAGAATTCTAAGTAAAGAAATATGCACACTGGGTTTAAAATCAAATAGGATAATCATGATAATTTATGTTAAGTTTGTTTTTAATGCTCAGAAGTGAAGGAATTTCTTACAGTATGAAAAAGCATTTGGGAACTATTATATTAAATATCTTCTGATTGCAGAATTTGAAAATTTTGGAAGTGTTTAATAATGCAACTTTTTTTTTTCCTGTGCACAATTACAGTTGCCTGGAAAGTTGTGCCTGTGGAAAAATTAAGATACTAGGTTGTCAAGATTGTTGGCTTCATATCCTGCAACAGCAAAATTTTGAACAAAGTGAGAAAAGTTGCTGCAGAATCTACATTCAATTGTGCAGCAAATAATTGCAATATCAACATAACATTTGATAAGTGATAGTGATATGACACTATTAAAAGTTCTGCTGCTCGTAATCTTTATTTTAATGTGTAAAATGACAGGGATCTAAACAGAGTATTTGAAAGAATCAGTTGTCTCCATTTCAGATGTTATGTATTTTATAAATATATGATTGCCTTTGATCTGTGCTTTTTTAATTACTAGTAATAGTTGTGATAGGGGGGAAAAAAGCATAATTCTGGGTTTTGGTTTTTTTTTTTTCTTTTTGTATAGGCAACTTCTCTCATTGTCTAGCTCTGTAATTCCAGTGTTACCTGTATTCTCTTAGCTCAGCAGCTGAACATGCTCTATCACTAGAGATGATCAGAACATCAGAGATAGACAATTTTCTTTCAGAGTTGTTTCCCATATCAGAATGGAGATACGAGTCTACATTCACAGGGATATATTCTTGAGTATGTCCATAATTTCCATTGACTTGAAAAATTAGGCCTGTTTCAAAAACCTGGAGCTGTCTCTGATGTATCTCTTGTGAAGCTTCTTAATATGCATGGACCTCAGATTCTGTTCTTCCCTTGGGTTTAGGACATTGATCAAAAGATAAAAGTCAAAAATTTGAAATTCAAATTATAATTTTGTAACTGCTTTACATGCAGTAAAGGTAAATTATCAAAGTACTGCTTATGAATAGGTCTTTAACAAGAAGTCTTACAACAATGAGTATCTGTATATACTCTCCACCACAATATTTTAAAATCATAAAAAGAAAAAAGTAAAAAATCTTGTCTAGCAGACAAATCTAGCAAAATTTCATTATGCTGCAGAAGCTAATTTCTTAGAAAACCAGATGTCTGAATGCATAATAAATTGATGAAGGAATGTTCAGGTAATTAACTTTGAACATGTCATAGTGCCCTTAGTATGCATTCTTCCTTTCCTTTTCTTACTTTCTGGGGTTTGCTGTTGGGGGGAAGGAGAAGGGGTTGTTTGTTTTTTTTTCTTTTTTCTGTGTGATTTTTATTTTAGGTTTCTACATTTTACAAAGATATTTTGAAGTCTGCGTATACAATGTTTTAACCTGTGCTGTAATGAAATATTATATGCTTTTCTACTTTATCAAGCACAGAAAACAAACTTAGCTTTCCTTTCTAGGGTCAAGCATCATTAGTAGATAAATATGCTTTTCTGGATTTATAATTGCTACCACTTTATGGGATTCTTCTATTCTCAGTGAGGTGGGGGTTTTCTATTTATTTATTTATTTAAAATTCCTTTAAAGTTAGATGTATACAGGCATATAATTTGAAATGCTCACTTTCTTCATTAACACCGCAGGTACGGGAATTACGTAGTGATAAAACTGAAATCGTTTCTCTCGCTTGGGTAGGGAACAGGACTTGTTCAGGAGCTGGCAGCAGTTGCCGTCTCTACGTTAAAGTTGCTGTGCTTTAGACATGTAGGGTCAGCTTCTGGGATGGGGTTTTTCAGGTGTTTACATGGACTAAGCAGGGGAGAGCAGCATACGTTCCTTCCACATCACCCTCCGTGTCTGCATAGAAAATTAAGTTATTCTGCTGCTCTGTTTGACCTGTTGCCTGTCTTCGCATAAGGTAAACCGTAGTGGATGGGGATCCTAATATTAGATCCAAATTTGCTGTCCTTCCATCATTGCTTATTTTCCCTCCCCCCGCTCTATTTTGCATGTGTTCTCACTGTATAAACAGCTAGTGTTTTTTCAGTGTTGTTTTTACAGTGCAATTCTGTTTATTTAATCTAAAGTAATAGGGTTTTTTTGGTTGGTTGGTTTTTGTTGTTGGGGTATTATTACTATTACTACTACTACTATTATTATTTATTATTATTTTTAAATTACTAGACCTTGGTCTTCTCTAACAGTAGAGATCACAAATTTCTGGTAAACTTCCCTTCGTGAAGCCAAATAACAGTTTAAGTTGAAGGTACTGTTAGTCAAAACTGATTTCTGTAGAGTTGCGAGATGCCTCTGCCATTACATAATTAATCTGCCAAAGTTAGGGAGAATCTACTGCCATTTTCCTCTCTGCCATATGAATGATAAGTTAAACATGAGTATTTTGCGCAATGATGGGCCACAGTATTTTTGAAAAAATGTGCAAGTTTCTTGCTTTCCTCAAAATACTTTGCAACTTTGTCCTAAAAGGAAGATGCTGGAAGAAATGCTCTGTAAGGCTGGACTCTGTAGCAGAGAATCATTGTATTTTTCACAATGATTTGCCTTCCTTAAGCAAGCATGATTGTGTGAATGATTGTATAATCTTTAATTTTTACTTCTAGATGACAGGTTATTTTCTTTATAGGTCATGTTTCCTTAAAGTTGTTTAGAGAAAATGGATGGGAGATCCAGAAGTCTTTCGTAACCGCTAGAAGTATGTGCTTGATGGTTCCTAGGTCAAAAACATAACAATCCACCTCTGTTATTCGAGGTAAACTATTTGAACCCAGCTTTAGGTGGTAAGGTTATTTTGCCCTTTTATCTTGCTTTTAAATAAAGCAAAGTTTCTCCCTTTACCTTCCAAATACCTGCCCAGATAAGCTAAAGTATAAAGAGAATTCATTAATGATTCACTAAAAATTTTGTGTGGAGACTTACTATATCAGATTAAGAGATTATCATGAAGTTATTGAATAGATTAGGGTGAGAATTTAAGATGCTTGGGGGGAGGATTACGTACGTCAGGTAGCATTCATGGTACTTTTTATCTACATAGGCTACACAGGCATAGTACTGGTGGTATGTTTTATATTATAAATGGGGGGTTGGAATGAGAAAATGGTGTTTGAGAGCACATCTTCCACCTTGATATTTCTTTTTTTTCTTTTTTTTTTTTTTCCCCCTAGTCTGGTAGGATACCAGTTTTGGAATATTCTCAGATCTCTGATATGTTGAACAATGCCTGAACTTGTCAGCCTCTGCTCTGAAATGATTTAATTTGTTTACATTCAATGACTGTTTTTTTAAAAACGATTTCACACTTGCCTATATGCCTTCATATCACCAATGAAGGTAGTTCAAGCTCAATGTTTGCTTTTCGGTATAAAAATAAAAGATAGTATATGGAAGCTAAAAAATTTTGCAGAAAAGACGGTGGCTGTATCTCACAGTGGAAATAATAATAAGCTTAAATGGTGTTTATGAAAAAAATTAAATTTACATAGAGCTTTTTTTGGTTTGTGAAACACTTCTCTGTGTTTCTTTAGAGAAATTCCCTCTTAAAAGCCACATTCTTTTAGTGGTCTAGTTCACATTGAAGGTTGCCAAAACAGAGCATTATACTTGTCATGCAAATGTTTAGTCCTGTATGTAACCAGAAGAAAATAAGTTGTTATATTTTAATAAATCATATGGTTTTGCATAGAGATATATAAATCTGCATTACAACAGAACAGAACTAAGCTGATAATTTGTCATGTTTTACATAATTGAAAACTTGGCAGGCTTCTATTAGCTGTTTATTTTCAGATTTTGCAGGTTCATGTGACTTCTTTTTGGAAGGTGCAATTTTAACATTGTAAACGTTTGGCCTTGGTGTATTTTTTTCTATTCCTCCCCCCCCCCCCCCCCCGCCTTTAAAATGGTTTCTTAGGGAGGGGTGTGTGTGTTATTTCCTTATAGTAGAACATAAATGGTTTAAAGATGTGTATGTTTCTGTTCCAGAAATAAGACCCTTCTCTGGCCTTTGCATCCGTAGGTATATTGAGATCAGATTGTATCTATACTTTCTCCCAGCTCTTATGTTTGTGGATGAAGCATTTGAATGTTCTGACAACAAAGAAGCTTTTAGTCTTGTGAAAATGATTTTCCATCTCTTTTTGTTTGTTCAAATATTGAGCAAAACCCAGATCTTTTGTTTGTTGTGCATAAAATTGAAGTTCCTGGCATAATTCATGTTTCTTCATTTTTCAATATTAGGACTCATTGATCCTTGAGAAGTCTCAAAATTGGAGTTCCCAGAAAATGGACCATATTTTGATTTGTTGCGTTTGTCTTGGAGATAATAGTGAAGATGCTGATGAAATAATCCAGTGCGACAACTGTGGAATAACAGTGCATGAAGGTAATACAACCCTTCATTCTCACTGTGGGAGGAAAGCACATGTGTTGCTTTTAATAAAATCTTGATGTGCTTTTTCCAAAAAATCGAAGTCTTTGAACTCTGGCAAGTGCTTTTTTGTAATACTACATGGATCTGTTTTAGTAGTGAAACATCCATCTTCAACTTTAGCAAAGCAATTATAAGCAACTATAGGACAGGGCATGTTTTTCAGATACCTGTGTAATGAATCGTAGTCTGCAAATATTTGAACTGTACATTGTATTTTCAGGGCTTTAGGTTATTAGATTAAATGCAATTTTGTCTTACCTATTTCAGTATATGAATTTGATTGCATAACTATGATATAAGATCATAAGAATAGGAGGTCTTCTAAAAGAAGAGGTTTTTTACATACATATTTGCTGTTTAAAAAAGGCAGAGATGGGCAGGAGGAAAGAAAGGAATAGTGTATGGCATTTAGTTATAAGTGAAAATAGCTTGTCTTGAACTTTTCGTAATTTTCAGTGACAATTTAAAACGGGGAAATTTTAAAGTTAAAAGATACTCAAATCATTGTTAGTTGTTTTGCTGATTCCTTCAAAATCTAGTCTGCGTATGTGTAATAAATGTAGGAAGTTTGGCTTTAAAGAAACACTTCCAGAATAATGCTGAGGTAAGCATATAAAATGTTAACATCTTTACATGGAAGGTGAGGCTGTGTTGTATGTCATTGCTTTTCCTCTTGAGGATGTAAGGCAGGGTAGATACAACAGAGAGAGGCATACCTATTTTGTTGAAAAACCTATTTTTTTTTTTCTTCATTAATCAGGTGGTGATTTGGTTTTTATTTGTTTTGTTTTGATTTTATTATAATTTCTGATATCCTGTACCTTTTTAGGGCTTCAGTTTTTCAAGGTTTCCCAGAAAAAATGAGATAGGCTACTTCAGTCCTTTGAAATTAGGAGAAGGTAGGCTTTCATTCTTCAAAAGCATAAAAGGAACATCTTTAATTTACGTGACTCCATTTGTTTAAAATTTTTTTTGAGCTATTCAGCATGCCTTTTCAAATAGAAAGTGCTTTTATTAATCTCCTACTCCCCTTTTGTTTTCTCATGCTAGGTTGAAAATTGTTTCAAAACAGTATTTTTCATGCATTGAGCTGTAGCTCAGTTCTTTGCTTAACATCAGTTAGGAAACTGAGGATGAAATTTCTGTCCTCAGGTTCAGGTGACTTATGTTAAGCGTCAACATGTACTCTTAATTCCGGAAGTCTTGTTGCGGTCCTTTGAAGAGCTAATCAACGGAGCTTAGAGAGCAGTTTAGTTGGCTTAATTTATGATGAGCTGGATCATACTCTAGGTGCCTTTGAGGGCATTAGTCAGGTCTTAATTGACTATGACAAGTATTCGACTCTTAAATTTAGGTGTCTTGGAGTTTCTTCCTCTGTATCTGTGAAGTTTTGGAAAGTAAGGTGCAGATATATTTGATTTCAGATGCAGTAAGCTACTAAAAGTTAGTTTTAAAGAATCTTGATAGATTCCTTCCCCCATCCCCCAGTACAGTCTAATTTTAATTCATGAGAAGAAAAACAGTGAATGAAAGAGCCTTTTGCTGATAGTTATGAATGCCTATTTGAGAACTCCCCAAATATGGAATGCAGTCAATACATGTAAACCCTAAAGCTGTGAAGCGCCCTGGAAATTCTTCTGTAAGATTTATTTAATGATTGTACAGTTAGTCGTGTTGAAGTGCAGAATGACTGTGATGGAAAAATGATCTGCTACTTGTTTAGAATCAGATGATGGCAAATTAGTTTTTTTTATTCCAGAGGAGTGCCCTAAAAAATCTCTAAAGATCATTTCCTTATTTTGTTTAGTTCAGTAAACCTTTTGTACCTACAAAAGGTAAGATTATAGCTGGCCTTCCTCCACCAGCAAATAGTTCCGTAGTTCAAAAGCCGCTTGAATTTTAGTAGTTCATATCTATCTAAAAGTAATTGCTGCTATTCTTTTTAAAGTGTTAAAGGCTAAGATTCCCTGTAGTCCCACTGTTACAGAGTACAATGGCTATGTTTTCTTTGTTATTGCAACAAAGTAAATAGATTAATTCAGAAGATTTAAACTGCTAGTTTGTTCCCATGAGTTCTACAGTCTGTGCAAGCTGATTGACTATGGGTGTTGGTTAATTTTTCACACTTATGTTTGAATGTATAGATCTTTACCATTTATTTTAATAATACTTAAAAGCATATGTAAAGCAGCTGTGAAGTTCTATTTGAATAGGTTTAGTCTTGGGAAAAAAAACCCCAACAAGCTGTGTAGATGAAAGTAATTGTTGACTGTGATAAAAATATTAAGTTTTCCCTGCAACAAGCTGAACTTCACATCTGTGGTAATTGCAGTTTGGAAGTTTACTTGATATTTTATGTGTATGTTTCATTGCTTGATATGTATATCAATTTGTAAACACATGAATATAGTTTTAAGTAGAGATGAACATTTATTCTGGTGTATTTTTCCTGTATTTTGATATTTTGTAATGGTACTGTTTTGAATCAGAGCTTTTTTCAGTAATTTGTTTAAATTATTGCTTGCAGCAAATCAAAATTTTATAAACAAACTTGGAACATTTGAAGTTTTTGTTTGATCAGTGATCTTACATATACACATGTTAAATAGTTTAGAGATTCCTGCACTCTTGCCCAGAGGTCATTCACTCATTGTATTACTTCTGAATGCATGAGTAATAAATGAAGACATAGACTATCATAAAGAAGATTCAGTGAAAACCAAAATGCAGTGCAACAAGTACTTTTTGTTCCTGTTGGCCTAATGATTCAACTCAGGTGATTTCCAAAAATAAATTGAGAAGCAGTTGAAGAAATAAGTACTATCTAATCATAAAACATTGCTTGAAAACTAGAGAATTATTTTTTTTAATGTTAATAGAGGTGGGGTTTACTCTTAATATCATTGACTTTAAACCATGCCTGATAACCATGTGCCCAGATCATGGACATGGGCTGTATTGTAAGAAGTCCTTTGTGCTATTGTACACAGCTGCTTTGTAGTTTGAAATACGTGTTCCAGAAACAAGCAAGTCTGTTCTGTAAACACATTGGAATCCAAGAACTTGTTATCTTTGCAGGTTTCCTTTAGTAGGTAGATTGCTGTGGCTGCAGACATCATGCTGTGTCCTGATATTTGTTCCAATAATTGAGCTTTTGAGTTTTTGAGAAAATGCAGTTTCTAGCACAGTATTGAGTGAAGAGGCTCTGTACAACTTGAGTTGTACAGAAATCAATGCAGTGGTGTTTACCTGTGTTTGCCTGCAGTTGGGGAAGATAATATGCCCATTTCCTGTGAACTGATTTTGGTACTTAACAGTTGTCTCTTCCCTAGAATCTCAAACTCAAGATGCCTGTTACTCTGAAATGCCCAAACAAAGCTGCTGGAATACTGCGGGGGTTTTCTTCATAGTTTTTATATGCAATTTCAAGTTGTTTTATAAATGTACTCCTTTCACACCCTACTGGTGTCCCACCCAAGGACCAACATAATGATATTGGTGATTTGATTGTTCTTTCCCTGAAGACCTTATTTTGTCTCTCCTTGTTGACTGTTACAGAAACTGTTCTACTTCACAGGGAGGGGTCTTATATTCTTGGCTTGTGCCTTTGTGCTCTGCTGAAGTAGAAGGTTTTCTTTACCACAGAACCTTTCAGATGACTGGAAAAGATTTTCCTATAGTGGCTGCCTCTGTATTTAATATGAAGTTATTCACTACCTGTGAAAATGCTGCTTGAGTTGAGCCTACTTCTTCAGGACAACAGGGCTCCCTTCCCTGGGGGGGTCTTTTGCTCTACTTGTAGCTAACTGGTCAGAGGGCAGTCCTGTGTGATAGTATGGCCCTTCATGTGAAGGTGAGCCTTTCAGTTGTGATCCCGAAGTGGCTGCATGCCAGCATAGTTGTTGGCACGAATCTGTTAACCGCTTTAGAGGGTAAGCTGATGTTGCCTTGTGTTTTAAGTTAGGCAGGGTCTACATCTCCATTCTCCCTTGCTCCAGTGAGTTTTGGCTTTTCTAGCACAAGGTAGCTTATTGCTGTGCATACTGCTCTCTTACTTATGCCCCTGGGTAGTTGGTACTAGCGCCTTTTCCTTGTGAGTACCTGGTGCAGGAGCTGCCTGTTCAGTCATGATTTGTGTTCGTTTTGGTTTGCTCTCTTGCATTAATCAACTGTTACATGGGGTCTTCCATGGGAAATGAAGGGTGATAACTCATCTGGGAGCAGCTCTGCCGGTGCTCATGTGGAACACAGCAGCATGGCCAAGAGTTGGGGGGGATTCTGTTCAGACCTTAATAAACACTTTTACTTGCTTTACTGACAGATTTTGAGATTGCTAGGAATTCAGTATCCTTTCCAATGCAACTGTTTGCTGGGTAATGTTCATATCGCCTGCATGGCTTGCATCACTTGTCCAAAAGCTATCTTTGCTCTGCAGACACATGTCCAAAAAAAATCTGTAAACTTTGTGGAGCAAATAACTGGTTCAAAATGACAGAAATCTCTAACTGCCTTTAAAACTGTGGAGGTAATGCTAATTTAATATCCACTCTTACACTTTGCATTCATCTTCTATGTCTAAATAGCCTGTAATTAATTAATAAGTCCATCAATTAGAAATTTGTTCTCATTTCAGATATCAACATACCGTATATCAAAAAAAGGAAAAATGTTTACACAGCTAGGGAAAAGTCTGATGGAATTTGTAGTAGTACAGTTGCTTTTTGGAGTGTTTACTTCTGTGTGGAGATAATTTTTGGTTCTTTTTATAAGAATCTTCTTCAGGCACTAATCTGTCATTTTGGATAAACACTTTTGTGGCAAGATCTTGTAATAGCAGGACACCCCTAACTGTGGTGTTACGTTTTTTGACATATTGATTGTATCATGTCTGAAGAAATTGTTTGGTGCGTATCATAGCATCTACCATAACTATAGGTAGTACATTTGCTAGC